CACAGATTACCTCCCATCGGCCTGTACGCTCCCACAGGGTGGGTCTCCTCAGGGTGCCGTCGGCCAGACAGTGCCGGCTGGCGACCCCAAGGGGGAGGGCCTTCTCTGTGGGAGCTCCCACCCTCTGGAATGAGCTGCCCCCAGAGATCAGGGTGATCCCTGATCTCCCTTCCTTCCGCCGCGCCCTTAAGACTTGGTTATTCCAGCTTGCAGGACTGGCCTAGGGGAAAATTTTAATGGGGTTTTAAAGCCATTTTTAAATTAATTTGACCAAATTATTAATATTTGATTTTACTTATGTTTTTAAATTTGTAGTTTTTGGGGATTAGTGTTTTATCCGGTTGTTAGCCGCCCTGAGTCCGCAAGGAGAAGGGCGGGATATAAATTAAATTAAATTAAATTAAATTAAATTAAAATAAATAAATAAATAAATAAATAAATAAATAAATAAATAAATAAATAAATAAATAAATAAATAAATATACGGAATTGCTTCAACGGTTCAGCAATTCTACCCTGATGGTGTTATCTAGCTGGGTAATGAGATATCTGCAAGAAAACAATCAAGCTCAGAGACCAGCAGGGACTCCACAGTCCTCCTCCTCCTCCTCCTCCTCCTCGTCCTCCTCTGCCCTCTTCCCCTTCTCCTGCTGTCTTAGGGCTGGAAGGAACCTATCAGGGACCTATGGGGAGACTTACTTTCCAAAGACCGGTTCCAGAGTACAGGGGATGTAATTGTCCTGGTCATTAAGGGACTTCTTCCCCACAGAAATCTTCACGTAAGGGTCACACTGGGTGGGAGAAGGAAAGGGAGAGGGTCAAGGTGGACCTTTTGCAATAGTTCCACGAAAGAGTCAGGAAAGGGCCAGCGAAGGCAAACGGTCCTTAGATATCTCCACCAGAAGCGTTCAGAAGACCAGCTTAGGAGATTGGCTGGTTTGAGAATAAATGAGGACCCCAGGTCACCCCTTGGGTCTTCTCCTGTGCCTTCACCACTACACCATGCTGCCTCTACTGGTTCCTGCAAATAGACTGAGCAACTAAAGAGGAACTTCGAGGAAAGCCGTAGAAGAGGGAGGTCCAACCTTGGCCACTTTAAGACGTGTGGACTTCAACTCCCAGAATTCTCCAGCCAGCCTGGTCTAACGCAACAGCGTCCAACCTTGGCCACTTTAAGACCTGTGGACTTCCATGCCCAGAATTCTCCACCAGAACTCTGGGAGTTGAAGTCCACAGGTCTTAGGATGGCCGAGGTTGGACAACCCTGCCCTAGAACTTTCCTTCCCAACTTGGTGGTCCCTGGATGCATTGAACTTCCTGTTGGCTGGGGTAGTGGAGGCCTATGGGAGTAGTAGTCCAACCCCACCTGGGAGTCACCCAATTAAGGAACTTTACATACCTGAACCTACATTGAAGAATAGAATAGAATAGAATAGAATAGAATAGAATAGAATAGAATAGAATAGAATACAATACAATACAATACAATACAATACAATACAATACAATACAATACAATAGAACAGAATTACAGAATAGAAAAGAATAGAGTAGAGTAGAATAGAATAGAATAGAATAGAATATGGAAGAATAGAATAGAATAGAAGGAATAGAATAGAATAGAATAGAATAGAATAGAATAGAATAGAATAGAATAGAATACAATACAATACAATACAATACAATACAATACAATAGAACAGAATTACAGAATAGAGTAGAGTAGAGTAGAGTAGAGTAGAATAGAGTAGAATAGAATAAAATAGAATAGAATAGAATAGAATAGAATAGAAAAGAACAGAATAATGATAAGAATAGAACAGAATAGAATTATAGAATACAATACAATACAGTAGAACAGAATTACAGAATAGAGTAGAGTAGAGTAGCGTAGAGTAGAGTAGAGTAGAGTAGAGTAGAATAGAATAGAATAGAATAGAATAGAATAGAATTATAGAATACAATACAATACAATACAATACAGTAGAACAGAATTACAGAGTAGAGTAGAGTAGAGTAGAGTAGAGTAGAGTAGAGTAGAGTAGAGTAGAGTAGAGTAGAGTAGAGTAGAGTAGAATAGAATAAATATTGGAATATAGAATAGAATAGAATAGAATAGAATAGAATAGAATAGAATAGAATAGAATAAATATTGGAATATAGAATAGAATAGAATAGAATAGAATAGAATAGAATAGAATAGAATAGAATAGACCAGACCAGACCAGAACAGAACAGAACAGAACAGAACAGAACAGAACAGAACAGAGCTGGAAGGGACCTCGGAGGTCTTCTAGTCCAGCCCCCTGCTCAAGCAGGAGAACCTATAAAAACTATTCTGATGTAGGCCACATGCTGACAATAGATGGGGCCTGCATTACGACTGAGAATAAACAGACCCTCACCACCCCCTCCCTCTCTGCTCTCCCCCCCCACCCCCCATTATCTAATTGCTTGCCGGGGAAGATAAAGACCACACAGGGCTGGGGGGGGGCTATGAATGACCCACCCCTCCACTAAAGTGCGTAAGTCCCAAAGGGGCTTTTTCCAAAAGGCAACTGGACTTTCTTGGGGGGGGGGAGGTTTTTTCCCCTTGAAAACATTTCAAGGAAAGCTTCCGTTCTTAAGCTTCGCAGAACGGAAGAAGCTTCTTGGAGGAGAAGCTAAACGTTTTCAAAGAAAAAGAAAAAAAAAGCGAGTCCAGTCGCCTTTTGGAAAAAGCATCCTTGGGACACGGATGGTGGAGACTCTCCGTAGACACAAAGGGCAGCAACGTCCCCTGAGCCACAGGGACAGCATCCTTTTTTTTTTTTTTAAATAAAATTTTATTAATTTTTATAATTAAACAATAAGTAATATGATGCATTTATGACACAAACCCAAGAAAAAAAACAATCCAACTCAATACATTATCGGAAACGCTCGGCAGTCCCCGCCCTGCCTCCGCCCTCATCCACTTACCTTTCCTTCCTACCTCTAGCCCNCCACAGGGACAGCATCCTTTTTTTTTTTTTTAAATAAAATTTTATTAATTTTTATAATTAAACAATAAGTAATATGATGCATTTATGACACAAACCCAAGAAAAAAAACAATCCAACTCAATACATTATCGGAAACGCTCGGCAGTCCCCGCCCTGCCTCCGCCCTCATCCACTTACCTTTCCTTCCTACCTCTAGCCCACAACCTCTCCTCCTTCCTCCTTCCCACTTCTACATCTTCCTGACCACCTCCTCGAGTGCAACTTGGGGTACCAGCCGAGCATTTCCTCTTATCAGTACAATTATTATTTGTCTATAACATATGAATACATCAATTTTGTTTTAATACCCCTAATCCCCTTCCCCCCCCCCCCGAGCTTTCCGGAACCAAATACAGGACTAAAACAGATCATTCCAAATCTAAATTACAATTTAACTAAACAAATAGAATACTATCCTTTCTTGCGATCCGAACGAAGAAGAAGCCAAGAACTTCCCAAGGAGAAGTGGAGAAATTGAGGAGACGCCCTCGGAGAAATTTTGCCCAGATCCTTGACGTGTCCCGAAGCTTCTCTCCCGGAGGGGGACTCTGCTCCCTGGAGAGTCTGCCCCCCCACCCCCATTCTCCATCCCTGAGCTTACTTTTCCATTGGAATCCTTTGGCTGCAGATCGAAGGCCCGGATGACGTAAACCCTCAGGAGACACTCCTGGGGGCCCCGGGCTGGAAGCTGGTGGAACTGGCGCGGAGGGACCGGCACCGTGGGGTCGTCGGGCAGAGGGTAGATCTTGAAGGAGCCCTGCAAGGGGAGGAGAGGCATGAGTCTGCCACCCCGACACCGGCTGCTCGGGGGTCTCTCCGGCAGTTCCAGGCTGGGAGCCAGGAGTGGTCCAGATGTTGCAGAGGGACTCCTGAAGCATGGTGGGGTTGCCTTGGTACAGCTGCTACAAGGGCAGCCTTCCATCAGAGAGTAATATCTCCTGCATACTTTTTATTATTTCATTTCATTATTTTATTATTCTATTCTATTCTATATTCCAATATTTATTCTATTCTATTCTATTCTATTCTGCTCTAATTCTATTCTATTCTATTCTATTCTATTATTCTATTATTCTATTATTCTATTATTCTATTCTGCTCTAATTCTATTCTATTCTATTCTATTCCATTCTATTATTCTATTATTCTATTCTATTCTATTCTTATTCTTATTCTTATTCTTATTCTTATTCTACTCTACTCTACTCTACTCTACTCTACTCTACTCTACTCTACTCTACTCTACTCTACTCTACTCTACTCTACTCTACTCTACTCCACTCCACTCTACTCTACTCTACTCTACTCTATACTCTACTCTATTCTATTCTATTCTATTCTATACTCTACTCTGTTCTATTCTATTCTATTCTGCTCTAATTCTATTCTATTCTATTCTATCCTATATTTCATTTTATTTTATTTTATTTTATTATTTTATATTATTATTTTTTGTTTAGTTTAGTGTTTACTTTAGTTTCTCACATTTATTATTTTATAGAAACAACTCACGGCAATGAACATCAATAATATTCTTTCCTCCCCCTATTTTCCCCACAACAACAATCTTGTGAAGTGGGCTTGCTGAGAGTGAGTGATTGGCCCAAAGTCACCCAACCGGCTTTCATGCCTAAGGCGGGACTAGAACTTCATTAAACTAGATGCATCCAATTCCTGCAACTGTTCTTCAAACATTTTAGCCCCCAGCACCCTCTTTTTTTGCTCGTCTCTGCACTCGTTCCAGTGTCCCTACATCTGTTTATATCCTGACAACCAAACCTGGATGCAGGATTCCAAGCGTGGCCTTACCAAGGCCTTGTAAAGTGGTATTAACCCTTCACGTGGTCTTGATTCTCTCCCTCCGTTAATGCAATCTAGAACTGCGTTGGCTTTTTGCTGCCACACACAGCTGGCTCCTATATAAGGGACCATCCACTAGGGTCATCAAACCAAAAGGAGATGGGCCAACCTTGAATTCGCCGACAATGGTGGGGTCTTCGCCATCATCCTGAGCTTTGCCGCGGGACAACTTAAAGGTGTGGCAGAAATCCGAAAGGCCTCCAAAGTCTTCGACGTTCTCCAGCTCTGTCTCGTAGATCTGAGGAGAGAAGGGGATGGAAAGCATTTCATTTCTTCTTCTCCTGAGAGGTTTGAAGGGAGATCTCCCGGCTTGAATGCTGTGGGGAACCTGACAGCTAGGCTAGAAGGAGGAGTCAAGCAAGGACCTAGCTTGGAATCCTTACACAGTCACAAGAGGTATAAGACTGACCCAGTGATGGCGAACCTTTTAGAGACCGAGTGCCCAAAAACTGCCCCACCACCCCCGTCACCGCTCTGCCCTGCCCACTGGGCCACCCACCACCTCCACGGCCCGCCACAGATCACTCAGGCAGCCCAGCAGCGCCATGGCAGCCATGCCCTCTGCCCGTGCCCCGCAGGATCATCTGCGCGCAACGGGGCGCAAGGGCAGAGTCTTGTCCCCACTGCCCAGCTACCATGTCCTTGGCTCCGTTGCTTCGTGTGGGCCGCGCCTAGGGGCAACTCTCCTCCAGGGGGGCTGCTGGTGAGGAGGGGGCCGTGGGAGTAGGCAGGGCTGGGGAGACGGTACGTGTGCCCATAGAGAGGGCTCCGAGTGCCATAGGTTCGCCACCACTGGGCTAACCTCTCCTTCCAGCCTAGCTGGCAGTTTCCCCACAGTTGCCCTTTCCAGGAAAACGCACAATGGCTCTTGAAGGCCACTGAGAGATACGCAAAGAGGTTCCCTGGAAGAGTGGATGTGACGAGCACATGAAGTCCAGCATCTACTAGAGCGTTTACCTGGACCAGCATCTATCTGAGCTTTTGTACAAGCCTTCCTTAATGAAGGCACAGAGGGATCAAAACTGGATCAGCCAAAGGTCCAACTCTGTCTAACATTTTGTTCCAGTCTTCAAAGGCTGTGGAGCAGCTCAATGTCCAGGAGCTGCGCCCACAAGATACAAGGGCACCTTGGAAATTGTCCCAAGGCGCGCCAGGGAGATAATTTAAGCAGAACTAATTAACTCTAAGTAGCAGTGTCCAAACTGAAAGAAGGAGAGAAAGTGGAAAGTGGCCAGAGGTGGGTAGGTTTCTTGCAGGTGCTGGATCCAGAACTGAAGGCCGGTGACCTCTGTTGATGACCAAGACATCTTAATATTTAGAGCCAGCAGGGCCCACCCAAGCATTTCATTTTGCTAGCCCAGGGGTAGGCAACCTTGGCTCTTTTATGATTGGTGGACTTCAACTCCCAGAATTCCTGAGCCAGCATGGCTCAGCTTGGAGACCTCTCCCTTTCTCCTCAGCATGGCTGGCTCAGGAATTCTGGGAGTTGAAGTCCAGGAGTCATAAAAGAGCCCAAGGTTGCCTACCCCTGGTCTAGGCCTAGGCCCCTTCATGACTCGTGGACTTCAACTCCCAGAATTCCTGAGCCAGCATGGCTCAGCTTGGAAACCTCTCCCTTTCCCCTCAGCATGGCTGGCTCAGGAATTCTGGGAGTTGAAGTCCACCAGTCATAAAAGAGCCGAGGTGGCCTACCCCTGGCCTAGACTGAGGTCAAGACATTCCTAGCAAGAACTACAGAGGTGATAATTGCATCTCCAAAGCTATGGCTTTCATCTCTCTCTCTCTCTCTCTCTCTCTCTCTCTCTCTCTCTCTCTCTCTCTTCTTTCTTTCTCTCCTCTCTCTGTTCTCTCTCTTCTCTCTCTCCTCTCCCTCCTCTGTCTCTCTTCTCTCTCTCCTCTCTCTTCTTTCTTTCTCTCCTCTCTCTGTTCTCTCCTCTCTCCTCTGTCTCTCTTCTCTCTCCTCTCTCCTCTCTCTCTTTCTCTCTTCTTTCTCTCTCTCCACTCTCCTCTCTCTCTCTCTCTCTCTCTCTCTCTCACACACACACACACACACACACACACACACACACACACACACACACACACCCCTCAAAGGGAGAGGCTATCCAGGCTTTTACCTTCAGGGTGTCGAAGCCTTTCTCCAAATAGGTGCCACATTTCTCTCGCTCCCCTGTGGAGGCGTAGAATTTGCTCCACCAGTCAATGAACTCTTCTTCCTGGGAAGAAAACAAAAGACCAGCAGATGATTTATTACCTTGAGACCCTCCAAATCACGGGGGTCCTCAACCTTGGCCACTTTAAGACTTCTGGACTTCAACTCCCAGAATTCCTCAGGGTATGGGGCCTGCTCTCAACGTATATTCTAGTGCAGTGGTGGCGAACCTATTAGAGACCGAGTGCCCAAACTGCTACCCGAAACCCACTTATGCATCTCCGGATGTCAGGGGCGTGGCCACTGAGTGGGCGTGGCTACGGTAGTCGTGGCAGCATGGGTGGGTGTAGCCAGGGTGGGCGTGGCGCATGCACAGCTTTGTGGAGAGCTGTGCATACGCGGAGAGGAGGAGGGAGCAGCTCGGCCCAGCAAAGGCTCACGTGCCACCAGACACGGCTCCATGTGCCGCCTGTGGCACGCGTGCCATAGGTTGGCCACCACGGTTCTAGTGGCTTGCTCGTCCTACCAACACTGACAGGGCAAGCCACTAGAATATAAATTGAGAGCAGACACCACTCCCTTCTAGCACTGAGGATGTTCCCTAGTTGGGTCATGAAACGTCTTCAAGAAAACAACCAAGCTCAGAGAGCACCAAGGATACCACAGTCCTCCTCCTCCTCCTCCTCCTCCAACCTGATTCCCTTCTAGCACTGATGACGTTCCCTAGTTGGGTCATGAAACGTCTTCAAGAAAACAACCCAGCTCAGAGAGCACCCAGGACCCCACAGTCCTCCTCCTCCGCCGCTGCCTCCTCCTCTTCCTCTTCCTCCTCCTCCTCCTCCTCCTCCTCTTCCTCCTCCTCCTCCTCCTCCTCCTCCTCCTCCTCCAACCTGACTCCTCTCTAGCACTGATGATGTTCCCTAGTTGGGCTCAGGGAGCACCAAGGACAGACTCGGAAGAAGTTGGCAACGAGCAAGCTGGCCCGGAGACCAGCTCAGCAGCAAGCAAGGCTTTCTTGGAGACTGCATTTTGGTTTTTCATTTTTAAGCCTTTAAAAAAAAAAAAAGCTAACTCTTCTGAACATTGATTGAAACCACAACGGGCCAATTTGTACCTCGCGAAACATTCCTCCGCAAATAAATAGCTCATTTTACCATTCCACCAAATTCCATCGGGCTAAGCTCATCAAGAAGCCATAATTCGGGGTTTATAGAGTTGGACTCCAAGCCAGCCCTGCAAAATTCCTACTAGTCACCTTCTCGGGTGGGGGGCAACCGAACCCAACCCCCCCTTGCCCCCCCCACATTTCTTCCCAGAAAAAAATGACACGCAATTCCTTCTTGTTTCTTCTTCTTCTTCTTCTTCTTCTTCTTCTTCTTCTTCTTCTTCTCCTCCTCCTCTTCCTCCTCCTCCTCCTCCTCCTCCTCCTCCTCCTCCTCCCCCCTTCTAGCACTGATGATGTTACCTAGCTGGGTAATGAAACATCTACTACAAGAAAACCACTAAGCTCAGAGGGAACTAAAGACCCCAGTTTCTTCTTCTTCTTCCTCTTCCTCTTCTTCCTCTTTTTCCTCTTCTTATTCTTCCTCTTCTTCCTCTTCCTCCTCCTCCTCTTCCTCCTCCTCTTCCTCTTCCTCTTCCTCTTCCTCTTCTTCTTCTTCTTCTTCTTCTTCTTCTTCTTCTTCTTCTTCTTCTTCTTCTTCTTCTTCTTCTTCTTTTTCCAGGTCTCCATCTTTCATCCGGAAAACTCCTCTCCGACCAAAACGGGCTTTATTCTGACATTCCGCAGGTGCCAAATTACCAAGAAAGCTTTCTCTGTAATTTGAGGATCTACCTTGGGTATCTGTGACACGGCCCCAAGACAAAGCTTTCTGCTGAGTTTTGGAAGGGGGTTAACGAGAGGAAGGAGGAAAAAAAAGTGTTTTTCTAAAAAAAAAATTTTTAAAAAGGGAAATGCCAGGAAAAGCAGCTGGAATGTTAAACGGAAAGGATGCTAGTCTGTCTCCCTCGGAATGGAAAAGCCACGCAAAGGACAGGCTGCTCACAACCGGGAAAACGCGCTCCCTGGATCCAGCCAGGCTACGAAGTCGCTGATCAGCATTTGTTGGGCAACCCGGGTTTTAGCTACACGACAGCCTTGGCCAGGGGAAGGCAACCTCGGCTCTTTTATGACTCCTGGACTTCAACTCCCAGAATACCTGAGCCAGCTATGCTGGCTCAGGAATTCTGGGAGTTGAAGTCCACGAGTCATGAAGGGGCCTAGGCCTAGGCCAGGGGTAGGCAACCTTGGCTCTTTTATGACTCGCGGACTTCAATTCCCAGAATTCCTGAGCCAACATGGCTCAGCTTGGAAACCTCTCCCTTTCCCCTCAGCATGCCTGGCTCAGGAATTCTGGGAGTTGAAGTCCACCAGTCATAAAAGAGCCAAGGTTGCCTACACCTGGCCTTGGCGATGCACAGACAGTCCCAAGTTTTCTGCTGCTCGGTCTGACCGTTGTTAAAGCGAGCTTAGGGCCCTTTTAGGACCGCTCCTGCCGCCGTTGTTAAGGTTATTGCCGCAGTTGCGAAGTTGTGAAGTGAGTCTGGCTTGCCCAGTGACTTTGCTGGTCAAGGAGGTCACCAAGGGGACATCACGTGACCTCAGGACGCTGCGTCCGTCGTAACTGCGAGCCGGTTGCCAAGCGTCCAAATTTTGATCGGGTGCTGCAACGGTGGTGTGAAAAGTGATCTTATGTCATTTTTTTCATGACCCAACTAGGTAATATTATCAGAGCTAGAAGGGGGGAGGAGGAAGAAGAGGAGGAGGAGGAGGAGGGACTGTGGGATCCTTGGTGCTCTCTGAGCTTGGCTGTTTTCTTGCCCAACTAGGGAACATCATCAGTGCTAGAAAGGAGTCAGTTTGGAGGAGGAGGAGGAGGAGGAGGAGGAGAATTGTGGGATCCTTGGTGCTCTCTGAGCTTGGTTGTTTTCTTGCCCAACTAAATGAACGGTTGTAAGTCAAGAAGGCCTGAAGTGACCTCCACAACCAGGAGATCAAAGCTCCCCCCATGTTCTATGTGGGTCATACTGCTGTAGCTGCCCAGTTGGACTTTTCTGAGCATATTGTAAGGACGGGCCAGAAAATTCACCTTTGCAAGGCAAAGAACAGCCTTTCCATCCCATCCTTCCATTCTGGAATAACAGAATAACAGTGTTGGAAAGGACCTTGGAGGTCTTCTAGTCCATCCCCCTGCTTAACCAGGAGACCTTATACTATTCTGGACAAAGGGCTGTCCAATGTCTTCTTAGAAACCTCCAGTGATGGAGCACCCCACGACTTCTGGAGGCAAGCAGTTCCACTGGTTAATTGTTTCTTGCTGTTAGGAAACCTCTCCTTAGTTCCAGGCTGGTTCTCTCCCTGATTGGTTTCCATCCGTTGCTTCTTCTCCTGCCTTCTGGGTGCTTGGGAGAATAGGGGGTCCCCCTCTTCTTTGGGGCAGCCCCTCAAGCATCGGAAGACGGCGATCATGTCACCCCAGTCTGTCTTTTCATTCAATGTTTGCTTCTAGAGGGGAATCGTGGAGTTTCCTCCACCTCCCTCCCCACTGCACTGGCATGGCTTCTCACGAGCTTCCTTCTTGGAGATCAACCATGTCACATGCAGAAAGGCCAAGCCAGCATCTTCAGAAAGTGGCTGGACCATTTGCCAGAGATACATGGCAGAACAAGGCAATCCAACTGGGTGGAGGGACACAGAGACCACCCCACCCCACCCATCAACCACGAAGCCCTATTGGATGGAAGCTGAGAACCCCCACAGATGCCTCTGACCAACGGTTCAACCACCAGATGCCTTTGGAAGATGCTGGCTTGGTGTCTTCAGGTGTGACCTGATGGTCCCTCAAGAGATCCAACTTGACAGAGGGACATCCAGACCACCCCGCTCCATAAATCCACCATGAAACCAGACTGGATGGAAGCTGAGAGCCCTCCCACTACGAAAAGGGGGAAGATTTGGGGCTCAAAGGGAAGTGGGTTAATATTTCACAGCAACTGTGCCATGGGCAGCTCCAGGGAGAGATTCAGGAATTACGGTTGGACTAGAAAAACTCAACCATGCTTGCTAAGGTTGAGGAAACAACGGGTCAGGTGGAGGACGGAGGTCAAAGAGAGGACTGGAAAATCCTTGGAAGCTGCACACGTTTTTCCTGGGGACAGATCAAGGAGGTCCATCCTATCGGCAGGAATCCAACTCAACTGTGATGACACCTCCTTGCCTCCCAGATTGGTCTACGCTGGGTGGTCAAGATGTCTGTAGCAGAATATGTTGTTCGTCCATCGATTTCGATGAAGACCTTGACATCTTATGGATTGTGGGCCATCAGCGGTGTGTCCGTAGATGGCTGATGAGACCGATGTTAGCACGGAATGTTCTGCCACATACTGAACAGAGAAATGTGGACACTGTTGCTTCAGCATTTGCAGCTCTGGCTTTACGGAGTGCTCGCTTCTCTTGTGCCAAGA